TTACACTGTTCCTTATACAAACCAGGAGGCCCTTGGCCTTCTTGGCCACCTGGGCGCACTGCTGGCTCAGCTCATCAATCCAGCCTGTCCAGATCCCACTGTAGAGCCTTCCTACCCTCAAGCACTTCTCCCTCCCAACACTTGCCTGCATCTCTTGTTGGCTCATCAGGTTCGGCAGCTTCCTCACATGTTACTGCAAACTGCCCCTGTCCTTCATCATGTTTCAGTCTTGCAAGGTATGTGACTGATTTTCAATTCCTCCCTAAAGATATCCCCATTACCAGTAGCCAAAAGACATTTCCACTGCCTCCTTTTCTCTTTAATATGCCCCAAACTAGCAATACTTCTTTGTGGTTATCTCAGATTTATGTATCAATGCATCTTTTTATCATAAGCTGTACTGGTCTCTCTTAAAATCATGTTTGAATAAGTGTTCAGAGCCTCTCCCTGCAGTAAATGAGCTACAGCCTCTCTTCTCTAGCTTCTCTATTATGCAGAAGATACATGATATAGAGATGTGTTTCAAATGTTTTAAGACAGGAAAAGCTAGACTTTCTGCTCCTAATAAACACATTAATACCCATCCAAGCCTGCTAGGCCTTCCTCATCCACATGCTCACGCTCTCTCTCTGGCACAACGCAGTGCCATTTGCCATACATTGGCATTTCACTGGTAACAAGTGTTTTCTTTATGAAGTCTTCAAGGCTTTATCTTGTTGCCTCAATTGCCTTGCACCTTTGACTCAGGCCTGGGAGCCCTACACTGCCTCCCCAGCTGCTCCCCGCCCTCTCGGGTGTTTCTCAGGAGCTCCCTCCTTGGCTCTGTTCAGTGCAAAGACCCTCAAAACGGAGCAGGGGCTGCATCTGCTGTGATTTATTCATCCCGCTGGAGGATATGCTTCCTCTCTCACTGCAGAAGCAGCTTATCCTGGGATTAGCACATTCCTGTAGGACTGTTGCAACCGTCTGGACATGGTCCTGGGCAAGGTGCTCCAGGTGGCCTTGCCTGTGCAGGGGGGTTGGACTAGATGATCTCCAAAGGTCCCTTCCAACCTCAGCTGTTCTGCGAGTCTGTGACCATCCCTCCCACCAGGCAGCAGCATCAGCCCAACAGGCTGGCAATGCCCCTCAACCCTCAGAGTAAGAGATTTATGGGCTTAGTCTTCCTGGGACCAAGCAAGGCAACAACAGGCTGTTTGCTACATATAGCACCTATCACAAAGTACTTCCTCAAAACATACAGCAAAATCTGGCTCTGAATACACTTTTTATAGCACTGGAGATTTTCTCAGATCAGGGATGCATAAATTGAGAACCAGAAAAAAAAATAGATATATATATAAATATATATGAGACAACTGATTTTAATTTCCTTGTAATGCAGACATTTCTGTGTACTAATATATTACAGTCTGAAGTTCAAAACATTAGCTAGTGCCTATTTTGCTACAGCTAAGCACTACTATGTACTAGACTTACTCCTTCTGTGGCTGCCTTTCCAGTAACAAATAAAGCAGCTGAGTGACCTCCTTCCAGCTCTCAGCTAGACTCTCAGCCCCCACAGCGGGCTTTCTTGCTGTTAAGGTACTTCTATACCTATTTTATTTCCTATATTACCTTTTGTTGACTCAAATGGGTTTGCTTTTGGTGGCACAGCACATGCTTTTTAACTATGACTGGGGAGGACGTGCCAGCTACCACTAACCTTTACTCACCTTTCATTCAGTTGCTGAACTGCCCCTTGATGAATTTCGTAGGTTTTTTTTTTAAGAAGGCCAAGCAGCCCGTAGGAGCATTTCTTGGTATGCTTTGGTATTGCAGCCTTCCTTCACCTAGAGGAACACATCAATTGCTAAAGATTATTTTCGAGCTTTTTTGAGGGAAGATAAGTGGTGGAAAGTTTTAATGCAGAGATTGTAGGATTGAAGTACAAGTGCCTTTATTCCTGTCAACTATAATACAATAGAGAGGCAACTGGCAACGGACTTGACCCTGAGAAGGATCCCTCAAAATTCGATTTCACATATCTTCTCTGGTTTGTACAAAGCACGCATGTAAGCTCTCCATAAACCCTGCTCACTGAATTTCCAATGCCCATGACAATTAACATTTTTAAACTGAATCTTGGAAAGAGGCACATGCTGGATAGAAGCAGATCTATTCCCCAAGAGCAAACCCGAGTAAGACCCTTCCGGGGATGCCAGCTCCACTCTTCCACGTCAGAAGTCCTGGGTACAATGAAGTCTCCTTGCGATGTTTCACCCACCACAAAAGCAGTGCTTCTGGAAAGAGGCAGCTTCTGATTTATGAATGGCTTAAGGAAGGTGTTGAGTCATGGTTGAATAAACCAACTTCTGATGCAGTCATCATTTTGCAGATATGTTCTGTTGCTCACTAAGAAGGAAGTTGTATGCAATTGAAGCAGAAATGGTATCAGAGCAGCAGCTAAGTACTCCCAGGTTTATTGCCCAGAACTTCCACACAGTGACTCACTCACACAAACTAACAGAAGTCACTTTTAATGCTGCTTCACAGAAGTTGGAGTTCCCGAGCCACTGGCCAACAGTTTTAGAGAATGTTTTCATTTACCTGAGGTTTCACAAATAAGACTGTAGATTAACTTACATACAGTACATCTTGAAAATATGTATCAAAATTCTCATTGAAGAAATAAATTACAAACAATGTTATAAAAACACTCCAAACCAACCTTTGTCCAACAAGGACGGAAGTGAGTGAACTTTACAGAGTTTTATTTTTGCATTACTCTTACAGTAAGCAAACTAGTTTATACAAAATAAACCTGGAGTTTCATATAGTTAAAAAAATCATCTTTGGCTAAACAAAGTTCTCTATATTTATACATATATTTATATATATACACATATCTGATATTTTACATGACCATATAGGAACCTGTACACATACTTACAGTAGACAGAACATTAAAAAAAAATCATAATTTACAAAAAAGGAATCCAAGTCAGAACCAAAACAGTAATTTCCCTGTTCCCCTCCACCTTTACAAACACAAAAGCAAACAAACACAGGCAAGAAATAAAAGACTTTGCAGTAAAATACTGCCTGCTTTTGTGAGACAGGGAGAGAAGAAGCACTTAAGTGAAAAAAGGCTACTCCGCTCAGTGCCTTCAGTATTGTGCACATTTTGCTCTAGAACAATATGGTTAAAAGTAAAAAATACCGGCTAAGTCTGAGCATAAACAGTACTCGACAAGCTAATGGATTCAGTTAGATCTAAATCTCTAATAGGCAAACTATTGTCATAAAAGTTTCGTGGAGAGTAAGCATGGACAAGTAGACAAACCCTCAGCTGGGATCATCGCTAGGCACTGCCAGAAGACTTGATCCTCAAAAGCAAGCGTTGGGAAAGCGAGCTTACAAGAGGGAAGACCGCCAAAGTTGACATCAGAACCTACTCAAGTAGTTCTTACATTTTGCAGATCACTGGCTAAAATGAGGATTAGAAGCTGTCTGGCAGCGGGACAGTCCTACTTCCATAGGGCAGGCTGACAATTCTCCAGGGGTGCCAGTGGCAGCATCACTGCTGCATTCTCCAACAGTTTACAGAGCCAGAAGTCTATCCTGCAAGTTGCTAGGTCTTGGGGAGACGCCAAAAAGGCATCATCCTGAAACTGAGCAAGCGGTTGCTGGATTTTTTTTTTTTTTTTTTGGCTAAAAGTTTGTGCTTTGAGGTGGAGCCACTACCCAAACAAAGCTCTGGCCGAGATCGGCAGATGCGTTGACCAAATGCAGAGCAAAGCTCTGACTCATGCTTACTCACTAAGTTTGTCTCTTGGATAGTAAGTGTCACACTTTATAAACTTGTGAAGATCTATTTCCAAATTATTGATAAGAAAATGGATTGCTGTTTTTTTTTTTTTTTTGACCAAAACATGTTCATCATGTAGAAGGTCTATTGAGTTACTTCAGCTTAACTTAAGCTAAGGTCAGCAAATTTAAGTGCCCTTCCCAAATGTAATCTGGATAAACATACCTCTTTCCAAAACAAAAACTATTTTTAAAAAAAAAATCCTATATATTTTTTCTGAAAGAACTGTTATTCAACAGTGCAAAATTCAAAACTATGTCTGTTTAAATGTCATCAGAACTGTAAAATATTTTCAACTGCAAGACAATCCTTGGTAAACTAATGCTCCTTATCACGGCATTTCACTAATATTCAAAAGGATCTGAAAAACTGCTCTCTGCATTAGCAACTGGCTTCACTCTCTCTGAGGTGGGACTCTCTTTATCTCACTCCAAAAATCTGTACATTAGGGGTCTAATCTAAGCCTAGGAATTCTCCAATGGAGGAAGATGGGTCTCCTCAGAGAGGAATTCATTCATTTCTTTCCTTTGAACACTGGAATCAGAAAGAAGTGGCTTGGGGAACACGCTCAAAGCTGAAGGCAAACCCTTCACACAGTGCTGGACTCCCTCCTTGGAGCAGAATATGAGCAGCTGACCGAGTACTCGGTAACCACCTATTACCTGCCATCTTCATCCAGTTACCAGGTAGTGAGCCCTTGGAATTATTGCTATCCCTGCACTGTCCTATTTTAAAAGGAAAAGGCCTAGCATCTCAACGTACCAGTTTCCATGTTTCATCATAACCAAGATGATATATTGATTATTTGCTAGGATTATCTACCAACTAGGAGTACCTACCAACCAGTTTCCAAGAACTCCTGTTTTTGCCAACTGTCGTTCCACATCAATGCATAGAGCACTTCTCACAAATTAAGCAACAGCCACCCTTTTCACTTGAAGAAATGCTTGTTGTGCTTATAGAGCACTTTTAACCAACAGAAGATTGACCGCCTTAAAATGATGCTGCTCTATTTGCACGTGCACACT